ATACCATATCTATACCGCGCTCTACACCATATAGCAAGTGCAACACGCTGATGGTACAAAAAAAAGATATGAGGCTTAAGTCATGACCAAAAGACCATTCACTGCCACATTGAATCTCTAAAGGACACAATGTCGGGCCCCTGACGGGATTCGAACCCACGACCTTACGGTTGCGAGTCCGGGAGCCTAACCACTAACATAGCTTTGCTGACTTTAGGGTTGGCTCCTCGCTCAGACAAGCAGCCCAGTTTGCAACAAAGCTAAGGGAGAAAACCAACCAAATATTTCACAGAATGAAAAAGATTTCTGCTGTAGAACACCAAAATGATGAACTTCAGAGAGCACTCGTTTAGAATACAATAATTTTTTTTCTGTGTTGAGACAGTTTGTTTTTTTAAGTTCCTTTTTTTCTCAGATCAATGCTTTCTTTTTTACGAAATCCATCAAAATATCTGTAATACAGCTTAGGGGGTTGGCATACTTCAGAAATTTCTAAAGGGATAGTTAATTCTTTCAAGCACTTCCATTTGACTTTACCCAAAAGGACAGAATTGTGATGATAATGTAGACAATAAAAACAACAAGAAGTGAGTAGCTTTATCCTCAACCCCCGTTACCTTCTGGTAGCTTTCTTGCTGTGGGGGAGGGTACTTCTCAAGTACCTCCTGTGGCCTTGTTGATCTCGCTAAATGGGGAGAAAAGAAGAAAAACAGATAGTTTTAGTAAGAGTTTTACAGCACTTGCAACACAATAAGGTCATACAAGTGCCGAAGATTAGAGGCGTTACAAGAGAGTAACAAACACAAAAAAGGAGGAGAGATAAAGACAATTGATGTTTGATAGGAAAGAAGAAGCAAACCACACCAGAGCACCCGCCAACCGATCCACAAAGAAGAGATATAAGAATAGTACAGAACAAAGAAAAGTACAGAAGAAAAAAAAAGAAAAAAAGGAAACGAAAGAGCTCAAAAACACAACAACTACACAAACAGCTCCTTAGTGCAAAACCCGGAAACTTTACCGATACATTAAAAATTCAGTCCCCCGTACAAATCCAGCCGTCGTTATCCAGACCACTCAATCAGGACATTAGTTCCACTTCAGTAACACAACCGACATGGAGGACTTTGTAGTTCTGTTTCATCTCTCTTTTTTTCCATTCACTTCTTTTGGCTTTTAGTGACGGTACATTAGACACAGAGGGAAAATAAGTGCTTTCATCTTTAAATTGCTTCAGACTTGTAAGTGTTACAGTATCTTTAAAGAGAGCCAAAGAGAATTTTCAAAGTCACGCTCAAACAAAACTAGGTAGGAGAAAAATTAGCACTAACAAAAATGTCCCCATTAACAGTAGGTCGCTTTTAAGGACAAGTGGGCTAACCCAGATTTCCGGGGTTTCCAGAAATCTTGACCTACACAAAAGTGGGCCTTGCCTACCTATGGGAGAAGTTTGGTTTCATTGGTGTGTATATTTGTTTGGTTATAGAGAAAACTCGTCTTGTCTTTTAAAGAAACTAAACAAGGGTTCAAAAACTTTACCTTCGATTTTCTCAAAACAGCATTTTTCAGGATAGCCCCCTTGTACTTAAAAGCGACCAATTTACTGTCTGCACGTTCCCTCCTACCTATAGAAACTTGAACAGAGGTGTCAGCCAGCTACAAAAATAAAATCCTGAACTTTTCATACCCCGTGGAAATGGGTGAACATAGACTTCAAATTTACTGATCATATTGTCAAACATATCATATCAAGGCAATTATTTTTGTATACAGCACACAATATGGCATGTAAAAACAGATTATTATATATAAATGTATCAGCAGGAGTATATTACAAAATCCCAACAATTTCATAAATCCGGATTTACAAAATCAGGTGGAAAATAAGCGCCTCTCCTTGAAAAAAGGATAACAACACATACAAATACTATCTTCACATATACCTCCTCATACCTTGCTGATCTTGTTAAATGAAAAGAATTAAAGTACCAAAAAAAGTAAAGAAAAAAAACACAGAAAAAAAAATACAGGAAAAAGGTACCCAAAAAATACACAGAAAAAAATGCAGAAGAAAGTATTTTTAAAAAATAAACAGCAAAAACAATTTTTTTAAAGTACAGAAAAAAATGCAGAAGTATAGAAAAAAATAATCAGCAAAAACAAGTTTTTTTCAGTACAGAGAAAAAAAATGCAGAAAAAAGTACAGAAAAAAAAAATACAAACGGAAAATAAGTACAAAACAACTACAGACCTTCAACTGCGTGATGATGCGAGCCTGCTGTAGCAGATCCAGAGCCCGACTGACCACGTGGTCATCGAAGTGGCTGAGCATGTTGTAGGCCAAGCGTACGGGCAGCATTCCTTCCAGGTGCAACATACTCTGAGGAGTGAGAATGGCAATGACAATCACAATCTTTATTCATCTCGAAGGGAGAAATTTGTCTTGGTCGTTAACTATGGTGGTAGACATTACAAAGGTTAGGTGCACTCACGCATATGAACGACAAGACAGGACATTAGTAAATACATATCTCACTTGCTGAAACAACCCGCTCCGTAAATATATATATATATATATATATATCTCTCTCTCTCTCTTTCTTTCTCTCTCTAGCACTGTGTGTTCAGTAACCCCCATTCCCTTAACACTTTGCGGTCACTTGCCACAATAATGCGACGGTTAAAATTATCCGTCAGTCACTTGGCGCAGTTCTGCGACAGGCCCGGGAAGTCTGTTGCAGTCACTCTCTTATCTGGGTGACGTACCAGACAGGGTATTTTGTACTGCTGGATGTGGGACTACAAAGTGGTAAAGTTCAAGCTCAATCATGAAACAAAAAAATCGTCACGCTAAAACTTTTCCTTTTTCTGATAAGCTGAAACAGAGGGCATGTGTCCAACAATGAGGTGGAAAAAATGCTGTTTCATCTTCACTTTACTTTCACTTTTCCGATCTTGCAGCCATCTGAATTCTAGCCCTTTGGCCTGTCAATACGGCAAAAAATTTACACGTTGCTATCAGCAGCGTTTCGTCGCTGTAGAGAGTATTTCCAACACATGGGGAGGCAGAGGCAGACAGCTGTTTCATCACACCTGGGGAGGCAGACAGCTGTTTCATCTAAACACTCAAAAGTCATGTAAAACAACTCACCTGTATCAGCTCCCAGACCACAAACACATGTACGTCTTCCAGTGTGTCCACGTCTGTGGTCAGCTGTATGGGTTCTTCCAGCAGGTCGTAAGAACGGCACACAGTGTACAGCTCTGACAGCTTGTCCACGGACTCAGGCAGCTCAAAGTGTTTGATGTTCTTCTGAGACCTTCCAAATGATGCAGAAACAAAGCAATGATTCAAAATGCATTCTTGAGTGAAATATCTGCACACAGTGTCAAAAAAAAAAATTCAGAAAGCATTCCTGAGTAAAACATCTGCACAGAGCGTCAAAGCACTCTTGAGTAAAACTTCTAGAGTTCACACTTTGAGCTAGAAAATATCAGAGGTGCCAGCCTTACGGATAAAAACAAAGCAATGATTCAGAATTCATTCTTGAGTAAAACTTCTGCACATGATGCAGAAACAAAACGATGATTCAGAAAGCATTCTTGAGTAAAACTTCTGCACAGAGTTCACATTTTGAGCTAGTACATATCAGAGGTGCCACCAACTGGCTATGGAAAAAAATCCTGAACTTTTCAGACCACAAGGATATGCGTGTGGAGGGACCTAAAATTTATGGACCATTAAATACATCTTGAATCAAGACTCTTTTTGTGTATCAAGTGAAAAAAGACTTTGCAACGATCAGTGTGATATCCAGCAAAATCCAGAACATTTCAGGAATCCGGATTTCCTGATTTATCTAGAAACTAGGCACCTCTGAAATATGTCCCTCCTAGCCATGGCGTTCAAAAACAGTGATATTCCCAAGAAACATAATAGGCTCACACTCTTATTGTGCAAGCATTTTTAACTTACTTTCTAGAATATACAAAATAACTTTAACGCACTCAAGTTTAAACTAACATTACTGATCAAGGACCACAGTACATGTAAAACAAAAATTCATCTACTCTCATTAACAATTAGAGATTTTTTTTTTTTTATAGTAGAGGGTTTTACAGCGCTCGCAACTGTCCGGGGGGTAAAACAATTTGAGAAGAAACTGCTTTTCTACCCAACATTTAGAAAGAAGGCATAAATATACTTTGTCTCTTTCTTTGAGAAATGTACTTCTTATAAACCACAAAAAAATACCCCCCGGAGCAGAGCCACTGACTGTAGTGTCTTTAGGCCATTCCCAAAGGGGGGACATTTCTCGTTCAAGCACAGTAGAATTGTAAATGGGCTGATTCATGTCACGCTCATAACTGTGCCTGATCTACAACAGGGAACTATTGCTTTTTCTTTCCTAATCCTTACTATTGTCATTTTCCTCTACTTCTTTTGTGTGTTTGTCACTCTCTTATGACCTGCTATTTCCGGGGTGCCTTGATAGTTGAAGCAGACCTTGTGCTGTTGAAGCTAGAGAGGTGAGCAGAGTAAGTCTGATTCCCTGTAAAGACTTCTCTGTTGACACCCACCCCTTGGCGCTCATATGGCCTTATGCAGTTGCGAGCGCCGTAAAACCTACCATAAAAAAAAATCCCCACAAAAATCAAAACAGCATCCAATAAGAGCAAATGGACATAATAGAGGAAGGGACATAATCAAAATAAATCCCTGAGTACTGTACTAACTCTTTTAGCCCCGACCCCCTGAGGCTACTGTGCCCCTCTGCCTGAGCTCCTGAGAAATATATAACTCTGATTCATATCAACGTCAGAATCACATTCCATATTCTTCAAAAGGTGGTCCTCACTATTACCAGCATCAAATTCAGAAAGATCTTCAAAATAATCAACAACGTCTTGTGAAGTGAAGACGCTGCTTTCCGTGCGCATTTCAGCCCAGATGAGAAGGGTGGGGATAGGGTCTTGCTCACCAGTGTACCGGTGGCTAGGCGTACGGGCAATTTTACGCATCACCAGTGTTCACAATAATAAATAGTATTTGTATAGCGCAAATCCCTGCTCAACAGCAAGCTCTATGCGCTTCGCAATCTATACTATTACCCCAGCAGATCTGAGAGCATTCTGAAACAACCTCAACTTCCTGGAAAGCATACAGTGCAAGCGGCTATTAATAGACGCTAAAACACTAACATACTGACAAGATCTTTCGCTGTCTACGACCAGGTACCCATTCCCACCTGAGTGAAGTGAGGACACAACGTCCGGCCAGCAGCTCGAACCCCCAAACCCGCAAACTCACTCATGTTCCGGTGGCTAGGGCTCACAGGGTTAACTCTTTATCTCCGGCAAGCCAATCACAGCGGCTCGCTGTTGGAACCACAGTGCCGGTGAGCTGCTGACAGCGGCTCGGGCACATTCCTTTTTGACAACTTCGGCATCAAATTACTTTTCGGCAATTGTTGAAAACATGTCTCTTATACCAGAAGTTCATTCATTAGATGAAGAACTATCGAAATAGGTATGCTAGTTTCGATTTAATGACCCATTTAATGATGTATTTGTCAGCTTTAGATTTAGCACCAAAAAAGGACCCCGGCGTAGTGGGTTTCCCCCCTCAGAGATAAAGAGTTAAAGCTTCCTTGGTAGCTCACCTGAACTTGTGCAGTAGGTCCACCACTAGATTGGAGTAGAGCTCGATAAACTCTGGGTCTGTTCGCGCCAAAGTGCTATTGTCATACTTGGCCATCAGTTCCTGAAATAAGAATATATGCCAAAGGTAACTGGAGATGTCAAAGGTCACTTAAAATGTCAAAGGTCACTGTAAATGTCAAAGGTCACTGGAGATGTCAACGGTCACATACTGATACATGTATGGGTCCTACACTCTCGCATTTTTTAACAGATGGAAATATGCTCTTCAGACTAATACTAACACATAAGATGACACTCGCACATGATATACTATCAAAACATAATTAATAATGATATACGCATTACATTATGAACATATGTGTCACGACAAAGGTGGAATCAGGCACTCGTCAATTTGTAGGCATATGGAGATATTGGTATAATCATAAAGCCTGTTTATCTGTCTCGCTTTTGATTTTTTTTAAAAAGCCACCTGCCTTGAATAGAAGTTGAGATATCTGCCATTGAAGGAGGTAGGGGTCATCTGATTTCAGAGGTAGAATTATCATGAAAATGGCTGTCAAATTTTGGTGACTTCCAAAGCCTGAGAGTCCTTGGAAAGTACAAATTTACATTTGTGTGCCTCTAATCAACGTTTTTCAGTAAAATCTACACAGTAATCTGTTTTTACATGGATATAAAAGATGTTGAGCAAAAAAAACAGAAATTCAATCAATAAAAATTGCCAAACGGCTGGAAAAGCACAGATTTCCTTGATGACATTATTTTGATGAGCGCCTGATTTCACCATGATGCCTCACATTTGGGCACAATGAATAATAAGGAGAACTTTGACCTTTACCTCATCAGATTTGGCCATGGTCAAAAAGTGCACAGCTGTGGCCTTGAACTTGTGCTCTCGGGACAGTCGGTTGTACTTGCCTTTGAGGGAATGTCTTGTCTTATCCTTGGCCTCCTCCTGGTTAAAAAAAAACAAAACCCAAGTTCGGTTTTAGTTTTAGTTAGAGTTTTACGATACTTTCAAAACCAGTTTTAGTTTTAGTAAGAAGAGTTTTACGGCACTTCCAACACCAGTTTTAGTTTTAGTAAGAGTTTTACGGTACTTCCAACACCAGTTTTAGTTTTAGTAAGAGTTTTACGGTACTTCCAATACTATTTTTAGTTTTAGTAAGAGTTTTACGGTACTTCCAACACCAGTTCTAGTTTTAGTAAGAGTTTTACGGTACTTCCAACACAGGTAGGTCAAAAAGTGCTGAGGATTAAAGGTGTTATTTGAGAGTAATATAAGAAGAAAAGAAGGATGAAAAGAGATAAGGAGGATAGATTCTTAATAGAAACGAAGATGTAAACCACAGCAGAGCACCCACCAACCACTCACTTAAAAAAACAAAAAAACAAGCAAGAAGCTTGTAGTACCTCATGCACCCAATAAACAATAAATAATAAATAAATTACATCTTATCGATCCCCGATCAATATCAGAAACAATGAAAAAAAAAACCACGCGGAAAAACAGCATCCCTGCGAAAAAAAGAACTATAATACTACTACCACAGAGATACACCTGGCTCCCCCCCCCCAACGGCAAACTTACCGGCAGTATGGTGTGGAGGATGTCTCTGACGGTGTCAAAGTTGACACACATGAGAGGAGAGTTAGGACACAGCACCCAGCTGGCCACTTGACACAGCAGCAACTGAGGAGAAACAAGACACACACACATGAATGACACACACATAAACGACACATACATAAAAAACACACACACACCTAAAAAGGTGTCCTATGAGAAATGGTAGATCTAAGATTTATGGCACTTGCAATGCAATTAGATGATATAAGTGCTGAAGATTAGAGGTGTAACTAGTGTAAAATACCCCCCCAAAAAAGGCAGAGGAGAGAAAAAGAACGATAGGCGTTTTGGGGGGTTTTTTTTAAGTTTTAGTAGAGGTTTAACGGTGCTTGCAACTTCATAAGGTCATATAAGCGCCAGAAGATTAGAGGTGTTACAAGAGAGTAACAAACATAAAAAAGAAGAAGGGGAGATAAGGACGATAGATGTTCGATAGGAAAGATTATAGACGTTTGATAAGTGACAAGGAGCAAATCACATAAGAGCACCCACCACCACCCACATTAGTAAAAGTTTTACCACATTTGCAATACAAACAGGTCATATAAGTGCCACAAAGATTGGAGATGTTACAAGAGAGTGACACGCAAAGAAAAAGAGAAGGAAGAAGAGATATAAGGACAATAAATGTTAGATTAGGAAAAAAAGTGAAAAACCACATCAGAGCACCCTCCAACCATCCACAAAGACAGACAGACAGACACAAAGAGGAGGAATGATACAGAAACACACACACAGGAGTCCTGTGAAAAAGAGTAGGTTTTAAAAGTCCCTAACAACAGAAAATTGACCTCACAAAACTCAGAGATTCCAAAGTTTAACCCATTACTGACTGCCTACGAGAATCCAGGCAGCCACAAGACAACGAGAAAGTCCAAATCCCTGTATGTCTCTCTAAAACTTGCTCCAGTCCATCATTTCTAATTAATTAATTTTTTTTAAAATACTTTATAGTTACTGTTCATGCACTTCCCAGTGTTTGTTGTCCGATAATTTTGCAGCTGTTAGGCAGGAAAGTTATTACACTTTTAGTGTGGGTACCTAAATTTGTGAGGGTGCGGTGGCGGAGCAGTGGCCGAGTGGTTAGTGCACTCCTCTCCTAAGCGGAAAATCCAGGTTCGAGCCTCGGTGCGGACACTGGTTTTTCTGCGCCCCCTCCTGACCACCCAGCAGTAATGGATACCTGACTTCGAGTTGGGGAAGTAAAGGCGGCGTGGAAAGGAAAGGAACTGGCCACCCTACCACAATCTGCCGAAGGCCCGGGAAGTTGTCTCGCTAACAAGGCAACCCCCAATGTCCGGATCGGATGCGGGAACAACTTTACCTAAATTTGTGGGTGTGGCTGGAGGCAGCCTAGGTGGGTGCGGGTGTGTGTGTCTGCTCAGGGAGGCAATTCGGTTGGAAAAGGGTTGCAGTAGTCTTCAAAATTATCTAAAAATACAAGGAGGTTTTTTTTTTCAACAGGAACATTGATTTTTTTTTTAATGGCGAGAACTCACCATTCCGTTCTCAACTGGAGAGAACCTTGACCTGATCCGATACATGCTCAGCTTGGACTCTTTGTCTTTGGCATCCAGATCTGACAATAATAATAATAATAGTAATAATAATAACAATAATAATAATAAATTACACTTTTATTTGTCCCAGAAGGGCACTTTGTTATACAATGGCAAACATACATACATAAATACATAATTATAAATACGTACGTACATAAATACATACATGCATAAATACATACATAAATACACACTATTACACAAATACAGAACAGTCTACAAACAATGCCACAGGCGATCGTCGGAACAGGTTCAACCGTATGTTCATGTATGTTTAATGCCTTATAAATTTCATACACCTGGAGGTCGTCTTTCTCATTCTAGAGCACTAAATCGGTACCTTAGAATTGCATTACAAAGTTTTATCTGAAATTTTCGGCCGTATTCAGTTACTAAGACCATAAGGTCAGAAACCAAATGCTCTATCAGCTCTATCAAAATCGTAAGATTATTCGGAGTCTTTATCAAGATATTCAAATATTTGCATTCGTAAAAGTTTGACATCAGAAACTCCAAATTTTCTCAAAACTAGGTACTGAGTAGATAGAACTTAGCAATTCTAAGGTAGCAAAATGGAACAGAAAATATAGACTCTCTCTTGGCCAAGATGGGAGGTAATCACAGCTTATCACACTCTCCTTTCCCTTCCATGCCTCTCTGCCTCTACTGTTTGCAAGTTCTACACTTTGAATGAACCTGACTCTCAAACTACAGATGGAAAGAAATAGAGCCAAATAATGCATTATAGTAACATAACAAGGACCCTTGGTTGACAGTTGGTATGGTACAATATCCTTCAAATATAATACCCTTCTCAACACAGCCCCCTCCACGCTTAACAGCAACAGGGGATGAAAAAAGTTTTTTTTTTTAAAGAAAAGAAAAAGCTCAATACAACAGTTAAGTAAATGATGAGGCTCGACTTCCAATTTAACACTTATCTCCGGGAAGAAAAACCCAAACTCAAGCACACCCAATTAAGAATTTGAGCCAGAACCAATATGCCGAAGGCCCAGGAAGTTGTCTCACTAATAATAACTTGGCAAAATACCGAGTACGTCAATGAACCACCCTCAACAGTTAACATCTTAGAGAATCGGACAGGTGGAATACAGCGAAATGATGTATCACTTACAAGCAGTTCTCCGCCTCGCTCGAGGTATACGGGAAGGACGTAGTTTACGTTTGGCCGCCTTCACAATTTTGTGCAGAGAGCCAATCCCTGGGAGGAAAAAAGAACGTAAAAAGCCAAAATAAATTATAATATAAAACCAAAAGTTTCCTCACAAATACAAAAGGTCAAAGGCAAAGGAGAAAATAATGTTAAAAATCTACAAAGAAAAAACCTTCATACTGGTTATTTTAACGGAAGAAAAAAAAACTGTGTAGGGTTGACTTTGTTTTAATACAAAGCCATTTAACAATAAAACTCCTGGTACCATGAAAGGATATAAAATCCCCACTTTTTCCCTTCTTTACTGCAACTCCCTTAATACAAAATCTGTTAACATCAAGAAATTCTTGGTCCTGTGATCTACAAAAAAAGTGAACAAACAAGACGCCGGATCTCATTAGCCGCTAGACACAAAACTGATTCACCAGATTTACTGAATCACGCACATACTTCCAGCATTTGCCAGGGTTTCTACAGACATTGGAATTTTAGTTTTAGTAAAAGTTTTAAGGCACTTGCAACTCAAATAGGTTTGCAGCAGAAGGGGTGTAGTGTAACAAGAGAGTAACATACACAGAAAAGAACGAAGAGAATTTTAGTTTTAGTAAGAATTTTACAGCACTGCAACACAATAAAGTCATATAAGTGACAAAGATTAGAGATGTTACAAGAGAGGAATAAACAAAACAAAAAAAGAATGAAGAGAGATAAGGACGACAGACGTTGGATGGGAAAGAAGAAGCAAACCACACCAGAGCACCCGCCAACCACCCACAAAGGAGGTGAGATATGGATGATAGATGTTTGACAGAAAATAACAAGCATACCACATCAGAGCACCACCAACCACCAATGGGCCAAACACTGCATTGCCACTTAGGAATGTTTTCTACACTGCCACATAAGAATGTATCTTGTATAATATAAACCAATACACACATACACATACTTATCACACACCACACCAGATTAGCTACAAAGACAGTAAGTGGGTGGCTGGCAGGTGTTCTCGTGTGGTTTGCTCCTTCTTTTCTGCCAAACATTATTGTCCGTATCTCTCTTTCTTCTTTTTTTTGAGTTGTTACACTCCAGTAACACCTCTAATCTTCCGCACTTATATGACCTTATTGTGTTGCAAGTGCCGTAAAACTCTTATTTAAAGAAAAAAAAATGAGTTGACCGATTCTTTAAAAAAAAAAAGCAACAAAATAAGTTGACCGATTCTTCTTACGCTGAGTGGAGTCCGGTTTTTTCCCTTTCTGCTTCCCTTTTTTGTCCGCCTGGTCACCAACTTTTACAGGCTGAGAAAAAAGTCTCGGCGTCCCTTTCACCACGCGGGGCTCGTTGCTCGGAGATCGAGTGTCACGTGATTTCGAGCCCTGCATCCTGCCCACACTGGACTGAAGAGCTGCAAGGTTGAATGAAAGGGTTTTTTTCAAATTTCAAGGCGATTTTATTGATTTGAGAGACCTTTGGCCCATACATCCGCACATTATAACTCGACAAATACATAAATTAGTGCAGAACATAGGATAAATAGTTGAATAAAAAGGTGCATATTGAGAGAGATGATAATGGTCACTCGGTGCAAGGGGCAAAAGCAAGACAAGCAGACTCTAGAGTAAAGAGAATTACATCAACACAATGGCAGTTACTTGGTGCCGGGGGAAAAAAACAAGACAGACATACAGAAACATACTTAAGGCAGGGGAAGCATATCTGCACGACAATTCTATGTTACTTATTGCAGGGGAAAAAAAAGACAGAGAAATGGAACATTATTGTTTAAGTAGAGTTTTTACGGCGCTCGCAACTGCATAAGGTCATAGAGCGCCAAGGGATGGATGTCAACAGAGAAGTCCTTACAGGGAATCGGGCTTACTCTGCTCATCTCTCTAGCTTCAACAGCACAAAGTCTGCTTCGACTATAAAGGCACCCCGGAAATAGCGGGTCACAAGAGTGTGACAAACATACAAAAGAATTAGAGGAAAAATGACGATAGTAAGGATTAGCAAAGAAAAAGCAGCAGCTCCCTGTAGCAGTTTAGGCAGTTATGAGCATGGCATAGATGAAACAGCCCATTTACAATTTACAATTCTACTGTGCATAAGAACATATCAATGTTCCCCCTTTGGGAATGGCCTAAAGACACTTCAGTCAGTAGCATCACCCCGGAGGGAGTAAAACAGAAACTACAAAGGCAGAAAAAAAGAAACAAAGCCTACTGCTGAGGCCATCATACCACCAGCTAAGAGCTTCTGGAACCTCAAAAATCCAATCTGTTGGAGAAACTTCTCCCAAATATAAAAGTTGCCCTCACCTCTCTTGGCTTTTTCTTTTGCCCTCTTCAGCTGGGTACTGATGTTGTTCTTCATGAACATCCAGTTGCTTTGTCGGTGTCTGGTCGGAGAAGAGAAAAAAAGGAAATAAAACACCACTGCATATCTTGTTTAAGCAGGAATTTTACTGCACTTGCAACACAATTAGGCCATAAAAGTGCTGAAAATGATGAAATGGTAGAGGTTTTACTTTTAGTAGTTTTAGTAGAGGTTTTACGGCGCTTGCAACTGCATAAGGTCATATGAGCGCCAGAAGATTAGAAGTGTCACAAGAGAGTATGTATGTATGTATGTATGTATGTATGTAGTATAGGGTTTTACGGCGCTCGCAACTGCTAAGGTCATATGAGCGCGTGAAACACAAGTTGTTTACTTGCACAAAAGTTCACTCCACGACTGGTCAACTAATTGACTTTAAATTGACTTTTAAACACAAGAGAGTAACAAACATAAAAAAGAAGAAGTGGAGATAAGGACGATAGATGTTTGACAGGAAAGAAGGAGAAAACCACACCAGAGCACCTGCCAACCACCCACTGGTATAGGTTTAACGCCCCTATCAACACTATTAGGTTATTTAAGAGGCGGGACCTCCAAGTTTGACACCCATCTCCGAAAGGACCAAGCCAAGCAGGAATTTCGTGTAAAGCCCCTTTTCCAAGGACACGTCAGACAGAGCAATCTAACAATGATGGGTCCAGCAGCCTAACCACTAGGTTACTGATGCCGCTGAAGATTAGAGGTTTTAGTTTTAGTAAGAGTTTTATGGCACTTGCAACACAAGAAGGCCATATAAGTGCCGAAGATTAGAGATAACATACACAAAAAAAGGAGGAGAGATAAGGACAATAGATGTTTGATAGGAAAGAAGGAGCAAACCATACCACAGCACCTGCCAACCACCCACCCCCACTGTATCAATCCCTGTGATGAAATATTAGATACAAAGGCACATGACAAGTAATTCATCATTTCTCCTCCATTGACAACAAATCACAGAGCTTTTACATTAGATGCAGCCTGAAATGCGAACTTCCACCTTAAATTATAATTCTCCAAAACTAAACATAAAGATTTTCTCAAAAGCAAAAGAAAATCTTAAACTGCTGACAGACCTTAAAAATGCACATCTACTCCAGCCCTGGGACAACACCTAACAACAACAACCACAACAATAACCACAACTAAGGCAACAACAGCAACAACAACAACAACCACAACCAAGAGACAACAACAACAACAACAACAACAAGCAAAGAGCTATATGCTCATAACAACATTAGCAACAACAACGAAACAAGAAGCTATGCATTCAAAAATACAACCACAACAACAACAACATCAACAACAAGCAAGGAGCTATTATATCTTGGACCATAATGTACTGGTGCAACTATGTTGGGTGCCCGACAAGGGAAACTACTCTACTGTTCATGCT